TTTTTTTTTTTTTTTTTTTTTTTTTTTTTTTTTTTGAGACACAGCCTTGCTATGTTGCCAGGCTCCAGGCTAGAATGCAGTGGCGTGATCTTGGCTCACTGCAACCTCTGCCTCCCGGGTTCAAGCAGTTCTCCCGCCTCAGCCTCCTGAGTAGCTGGGACTACAGATGTGTGCCACCACACCCAGCTAATTTTTATATTTTGGTAGAGATGGGGTTTCACTCTGTTGGCCAGGATGGTCTCAATCTCTTGACCTCGTCATCCACCCGTTTCGGCCCCCCAAAGTGCTGGTATTACAGGTGTGAGCCACCGCACCAGGTCTAGAAAACCACTTTTAATGGGTACAGAGATTAATTAGGAGGAATAAGTTCCGATGTCCTATTGCACAGTAAGGTGACTATAATTATTGAATATTCTTGCTACAAATAAATGATAAATGTTTGAGTTGTTGGGTGTGCTAATTGCACTGATTTGATCAATACACATTGTACCTGAAACAGTACATGCGCCATAAATATTTACAATTGTGTATCTGTTTAAAATTTTATCAGTTTAAAATTGTATAAAACATTTATAATGTAAAAAGTATCAAACTGTAGATTAACTTCTTGATTTATATTTAAATATGAATCTTAAGCAAAATAGTGAAAATAACTATCAGGTTTAGTGTTTTTCTCCCATATGTGATTTATATTTACTTACAATACAATCAACTGAACTGTAAGCTTAGAATAGGCCGCAGGGATAATTTTGCACAGCAGTTTTACTAATGGTACATTGTTACATTGTTGCTTAAAAAGAAACACACCCACACATTGACTTATGAAACCAATGGCCAAAGGGATTAGTACTTTACCTTTGGAGTTCCTCAAAGCCTTACCTGTTTTTTTTTTCCTGAGGAGTGTAGCATAAATGTGATTATAAACAAAGTACACATAAGATATATGTATGCAATGAGTGCTATTTATACAAAATTTAAATCTGCAACATGTTTATGGGTTATTAAAATTATCTAAATTCTTAGGTTCTGTATAGTACACATGTATTGATTTACAAATAAATGATTTATTAAGTGATTGAGTGTTTTAAGAATGTGATTATTTGATCTTAAACAATTTTTTAATGAGTTAAAATGGAAATTGTTTGAATATCATATATTTGGGTAACGAAAGGCACAAGTCTGAATGTTTCTGGAATGGCTATGCCTGCCCACTTTAGAAATACAAATATCAACTGCACAGCTTGAAGCAGCTGGGAGCCTCCAGTGAGAGCAACTTGACAGAATGATGTTCCAAGTTAGTAGGAGTAAGAAAGGATTTGTTCACCCTGTCTTCACTTAGGTCACATGGCAAGCTGGCCTAAGTGATCGTGAATAGTCTATATAGCATATAGCTGGGACAGGGAGGGGAGTTTGGGCTAGCCACCCTGCCACTTGTCAGCATGAATAGCCAGATTATAATTGCCTGTTTACCTGTCTGCCTTGTCTTTGAAAGTTCCACAAAGCTGGGAACCTCTTGATTGTGATACACAAATGTAAGTGCTCAGTAAGAATTTACTAAATGAAAGCATTAAGACCTGAGTCTTGAAAGCTGGCTTTGGCTGGGCGCAGTGGCTCATAATTCTAGCACTTTGGGTGGCCGAGGTGGGCAAATCACCTGAGGTCTGGAGTTTGAGATCAGCCTGACCAACATGGTGGAACCGCTTCTCTACTTAAAATATAAGAATTAGCCGGGCATGGTGGCATGCACCTGTAATCCCAGCTACTCAGCAGGCTGAGGCAGGAGAATCACTTGAACCAGGGAGGTGGGGTTGCAGTGAGCCAAGATCACACCACTGCTTGGGCGGCAGAGTGAGACTGTCTCAAAAATAACAAAAACCATACCAAAAACAACAAGAGCTGGCTTTGGCTGGGAGCGGTGGCTCACACCTGTAATCCTAGCACTTTGGGAGGCCGAGGTGGATGGATCACAAGGTCAGGAGATTGAAATCATTCTGCCTAACACAGTGAAACCCGTCTCTACTAAAAACACAAAAAATTAGCCAGGTGTGGTGGCAGACGCCTGTAGTCCCCTCTATTCAGGAGGCTGAGGCAGGAGAATCGCTTGAACCTGGGAGGTAGAGGTTGCAGTGAACCAAGATTGTGCCTCTGCACTCCAGTCTGGATGACAGAGCAAGACTCCTCCATCTCAGAAAGCTAGCTTTGAAGTAGGAGCTTGTGAGCCCCTAAGCCAGAGGCGGGTAGCTTTTGCCGTTATATAATTAAGATTTTTAAAATCCTTAATAAAGGTTTTATTTATTTATTTATTGAGATGGAGTCTGTCTTGGTGGCCCAGGCTAGAGTGCAGTGGCGTGATCTTTGCTCACTGCAACCTCCGCTTCCTGGGTTCAAGTGATTCTCCTGTCTCAGCCTCCCGAGTAGCTGGGATTACAGGATCCCATCACCACATCTGGCTAATTTTTGTTTTTCTAGCATAGATGAGGTTTCACCTGTTGGCCATGCTGGTCTCAAACTCCTGACCTCAAGTGATGTGCCCTCCTTGGCCTTCCAAAGTGCTGGGATTACAGGCATGAGCCACTGCGCCTGGGCTAATTTAAGGGTTTTAAAGATAATTGGTGTGTAGCTCAACGGCTTATGATGGTAACCAGAAGTTGTTAATGGCATTGTGAAAAGTTTGTAGTTGACCTTTACGGTTGAATCCTGCATTACAGTTTGATTTGATATTTACAAAAAAAATTTCTTCAGCTTAAAAATTGTTTAAAAGTTTGTGATCATATTGTCTCTCATATAGCCAGCTTTCAGTTTTATATAATAGGGACTTTGTGACATTTACAAATAATACTTTGAGATAGATATCTGAAAGTACCAGCACATGAAAGGTGTTCAGAAGTAACAAATTCTAAAATGAACTGACAAATGAAAGGCAACAGAAAATAAAACAAGAGCCATAAAGCAAGCAGATGGGAGGCGTGTTCAGTAACTTGCTCATAATGCATCTGAAATGATTGCTGTACTTAAATATTGTTAGAGTAATAGGATTTTGAACAAAAACCATAATTGATTGTCTTTAGGTAAGGAGTGATACTGAAACATAATTGAATTCCTATTGCTTTCCTTTAAAGCTCTCATTTAAAGACTTAA